CACTTCCTCGCCGCCTCGGCCGTATCTAGACCCACAGCGTGTAGCTCAGACCACGCTTCAATACTGAGCATAATTTAAAAATGTCTGCATCAAGCTCACTGCAACACACTGCTGTAAGAATATAACCAGTAAGCGAGGTAGGAGGGCAAAATAGGTTTAGCGCCACCGCAGCACGGGAGGGAGAATTACACCCAGGAGCGAATGGATAAAAATAGACCGGAGGGAAAAAAAAACATGAATCTATTCTCTTGCGGACGTATCGATGCATCGGATCGTCAGCTGTTGGATCGATGCATCGATACAAAACGATTATTATTTACACCCCTATAATAACGTAATACTGTTTTGTGCTTCCTGGCCACCGTAGCGGAGGCCTTTTGGTGAAGCGTTTTGTTTGTAAATGCAGCAACAAAGGCGTCCTCTGAGGTCAGTTTTTTCTGATGGTCTTTATATGATATCCCACATAAGGTAATAACCTACGGCGCCCTAAACACGCTAATTAATGAACATGCTCTCTCTGGAGTCACGCTGCCAGATCCTGTATGCTTCCCGGTATCCAGCAGAACTTTCCTCCCAGTTTGGAGAAACGTTACGGCGAGGCTGGGTGTGGCGTGACCCTGCAGTCATCCTGACAGCCAAGCAGCGGGTCCTGCAGCGCTGTAGGAGCGGCGGGAAACAGGCGGCCATCGGAGCCGGCGGCTCGTTTTAATCATAATGTTCTGACAGACGGACGGCGTCTTCACTCACTCTCTAACGTCCGGTCGAGGTCGGCGATGAAGTCCTCCAGATCTTTGGTGTCTCCCAGTTTGGCTGCAGAGACAGAGATGGACGCCATTAAATGATGCTTCACATCTAATCTATAATTATAGAGAATTTAATCTTAAAAATACTCAAACTGGGATTAGTCCACAGGGATTTATGAAACAATTTTGAAAAATTAGCATGAATATTAACACACTGCCAAAATATTACATCTCAATAAGTCATTTTTTCTGAAAATAAATGCATTTTTTCTTGAATGAAGTTGGTAAGTGAGACACTTTGCTAACGGAACAAGACATTTAAAATAATGAAAAATTATAGCATTGTCTTATTTCCAGTGTATATTGGAAATAAAATACTAATTCCATCGGCAAATAATTTATGTGCTCACATCAAGGCTAAAAACACTTAATTTAATACATTTGTACTTATTTCTAGATTGTTTTTGCAGTGCATCTCTGTCCTTTAGCTGTTTCCATCTAACTGAGAATTTTCTGACATCCAGACTAAGTTTCAGAAACCTTCAGTAAAGAAAAAGGCTAAAACCATCAGAAGAGAAAAAAACTGTTCAAATATGCATGAAAGTTTGTCTTTTATTCTGTTCTTTCTCAATCACCCTGTTCCTGAATTATTTTACCAATGTGAATTTAATTCAGTATTTTAATGATGTTAACATTCTGATTGTGAGTTTAGTTAATTGGATTTATGTGTATTTATTCATCTTTTATTAACACATATTATATCAAATGTAAAAAGATCAAATATTCTTTTCTGCAACATGTAGATAAAATGTTAGGATAAAGTGTCCTTCATTGCGTTTTGAACAAACTGATTATAGTTTAATACTTTATGTGATGCACGTGTTGCAGAAGGTGAGCTCACGTTTGGGTGACATCAGAGGGGGGGAGGATGCGGCGGGGGAGAGCGCGGTGGGGGAGTTCAGCCTCTCATCGCTGAAGCTGAAGCTGTTTCTGTTGAGTGAATCAGCACCTGTGAGAAAGACAACAGAGGAATGAGTCT